GACCATCATCCAGACCGATAAGAGCTACTACGCCCTCATGTCCCACAAGACGGGCTACCGCCCCAACAACGTTGTCGCCTTCCGCGCCGACTCACTCGCCGGCCCCTGGTCCCAGCCCTTCTTTGTTTCTGACGCATACACCCGAACGTACAACTCCCAGTCCGGCTTCTCCCTCAAGATCGAGGGCTCCGAGGTCACGACGTACCTCTACCTCGGCGACCAGTGGGACTCCAACTCCCTCTGGGAGAGCCGCTACATCTGGTTGCCCCTCGTCATCGACGACGAAAAGAAGTCGGTCCACGTAGAATGGCACGACGTCTACGACCTCGACGTCAAGACGGGCGTCGTCACCCCCATTGAAGGCACACCTTACTACGCCCACGACTCCGCCACCACAGCCGGCGCAGCTTTCAAGCAGGAAGCCACCTTTGCCAGCGGCGGCTCCATCGTGACGGGCATCTACGGCAACGACAGCACCGTTACCTTCACCGGCATTCAGGGCGCCGGCGAGCCGCAGTGGGTGTCGTTTTACTACCAGAACACGGACGACATGGGTTTCGGCGACCAGCCTGGCGGCAATCCCGACCGTATCGGCGGAAAGTGGCAGCTTCGTCGTGTAGCTTCTGTCGTGGTGAACGGCAACGAGCAGCAGGTTGAGACGCTTTTCCAGCGTGATAGCCACAAGGGCATTATCCTTTCCACGCCCTTGCAGTTGACTCTGGAGAAGAACGCGAACAACACTATCACTATTGGTGGGTTGTGGAATGGCTTTGACTTTAAGGGTGCTGATATCGACCGTATCGTGGTGTACCCTCCCGAGGGTGGCCCTGTCAAGTGCAAGAGGGGCATTGAGAATGTCGAGTAATGCTTTGATTAGAATAATTAGCCAATATTGGCCTCGTACCGAAAAATTACGTACGAAGGCATGATTCTTTCCAAGGTCTTTTTTGTCAAGATTCATTTGTGTAATCAGCAAGATGTGCTCTCTTGTCTAATCTCTCGTCAATCTCAACCTTGAACGTAGAGCCATCTATTCCATAGTAAACTCTACTGAGAGCCAGTTGAAAAAACTCAGAATCGGCCCTGCGGCGAAAAGGTGTTACAAGGTAAAGAACCTCCAAGGTTGGCAGAGCAGAGAATGACAGGCTCTTAGCGGCCATGCTCGAGTATAGCAATGAGAGCAAGAAACCAAAACGATTCCAACAACCTATTCTTCCAAAATTACAAGCCGTATTTGTTATCGCCTACCAAGTGTGGCTGACCGTACGATCAAGGCTTCTTGCGGGTAAAGACGCCGGGCGAGCGAATGCAATAAACACAGCAAGAAAGACGTAGTCAAGGATTAAATAAAAAAGCCCCGCTCGTATCGAATAAAGGGAATAAATACAGACGCCCATAAACTACTTAAGAGGGCATAAAAGAAAAAGAAAAAGAGGGAATGGAGGGGGGATACTGACCTTGCAACTCACGCCCCTGCCCAGCCTCGAACAGCGCGCCCCTCTGTCAACCCGAACTCTGACTTCATGGGAGTATTTGTTTTTATTTTAACCATTCGACCACCTCGCACACAGCTTGACCTGACCTCGCCGACCAAGACGGGCGCTGCTGTGCTGGTGACAGAATTAGACGTTGGGAGGGTATAAGTACCTACCGTGGTAGGTAAGATAGGTACGTAGATGGCCTCACGTGAGGCAACAGCGAGGCAGAGGGTGCCCGGTCAGGTGATGGTGGGCCTGGGATACGTAGAATTCTATTAGACGGGATAGAAGGAAGGTGACAGTCTGGGTCGTACCTTCTTACCCTGTGAGTTCACTTTACCCTCGACAAGGTAATAGTTACGTGTCCTCAACGTCCATGATCTGATATCGTTGAAATGATTATCAGTCCCTTATCTTCGTCAACCATCATTTACGTGGTTTTTGACTTGATTTCTTGTCATAGACCTGATCAAGGAAACGAGGAGCCCAATGGACTAGGCCCCCTAACGATCCTTCAGGGCAGTGGGGTGGAACTACGTAGCAGAATAGAGGAAGTCAACATTCCGTTTGATACACAGACTATAGCATTAGAAAGCACACAGGGAGGTAGTCTCCAATAATCAGGCCACAGAGGACATGGACGACGATGAATATCAAATGGACCACGGAAACACTTTGTAATTCTTCCAGAGACAATGGTTGACATCTATCTCTCATGCCTAGCAAGCAACTCATCAATCATCCGCTGCAACCATAGCCTCTCTACAACGCCAATAATCATGGAACGCCTACTCGTCTTACTCTACTCTACGATGTGTGAACATCCGTCTTGGAGATGGCCTCTGTTACCGCCTCGATGGCCGGGTCAGCCTCGGCCTTCTTCTCGGTAGACTCCACCGACGCTCCAGCTCCGGCCGCCTTGGCCTTTTCCGCCTCCTTCTTGGCCTTCTTACGGGCCTTCTCGGCGTCCTTTGCCGCCTTCTTAGCAGCGGCCTTGGCCGCCGCCTCCTCCTTTTGCTTTCTGACTTCCTCGCCGCCAAAGGCGTCCTTCCACTCCTCAATCTTGGATACCGCAATCTGGGTGAAGAGATGCTCGGGGGTTCCAAGCTTGTGACCGGGCTTGATGGCATCAGTGACCCAGGTGTCGGGGATGAACGGCTTGGGCTCAACGCCGAGCTGCTTGAGGATAGCAGTCGAGGTGTTGGGCAGGTAAGGAGCGACGAGAGAGGCCAAAAGGTCGATCTGGTTGAGCGCGAGACCGACAACGGCAGCGCAGCGGTCAGGCTCCTCAGTAAGAAGTCTGTTGTCGAGCTTGTTGTCCTGGAGCAGCTTGTTGCCGAGGCTATCGATATTATTAGCTCACGTCACGAAATAACGGGGGAGATAAATGGTTAGCATACGCAGAAATAGACATGATGGTCTGAAGACCAGCCCTCATCTTGGTGGCCTCCATGTTGTTGATGTACTCCTTGAGCAGGGTGTTGACCTCGTCGATGTGCTTCTTCAGGTAGTCATCAGTGTATTTGGTGTAGTCGGGAACCGCGCCTTCGGTCTTGGCCTGGCAGAACTTGTTGACTCTCTGGCAGAAGTTGCCGAGGTTCTTGAGGAGCTCGTTGTTGTTGCCGTCAACCATCTCCTGCCACATGAACTCAGAATCGGAAGTCTCGGGGCGGCGAGACAGTAAGTAGTATCTCCAGACATCGACGGGCACACCAGTCTGTTGTACCTGATTGCCAAAGACACCGACACCTCTCGACTTGCTGAACTTGCCACCCTCGTAGTTAAGATACTCGGTAGTGGAGATCTTGTGCAGTTTAGTCCAGTTCTCGCCGGTGCCGAGCTGAGATCCAGGGAAGATGATGGTATGGAATTGAACGTTGTCCTTGCCCATGAATTGGTACAGCTTCACGTCATCGGGGTTCTTCCACCACTGCTCCCAGTTCTTGCCTTCGAGGTTGTCGCCGTCGGTGTAGTTCTTGGTGATGGAGACGTATCCGATGCAAGCGTCGAACCAGACGTAAAAGACCTTTCTTGCGTAGTCCTCTCCGACCTCGTGAGTCGGGATTGGGACACCCCACTTGAGATCTCTGGTGATACCACGGGGCTTGAGGCCCTTGTCGATCCAGGCTTGGGTAATCTGCTCGGCATTATTGCTCCATGCGCCCTTTTTGCTAGACTCCTTGAACCACTTGACCAGATCGTCCTTGAGAGCATCGAGTCTGAGGAACAAGTGCTTCGTCTTGCGCTTCTCCGGGGTAGCTCCGTCGAGCTTGCAACGGGGCTTGATCAAGAAGCCAGTGGGCTTGGCAGCAACATCATCATCGGCAGAAGCGTTGGCTTCGGGTTCGGGCTCGAGGGGGTCGAGAAGATTACCGCACTTGTCACACTGGTCGCCTCTAGCACCATCGTAGGCGCAGATAGAACAGACACCCTCGACAAATCGATCGGCGAGGAAAGACTGGTGGGCCTCGACAGGGCAGAAAGGCTGAACGGTCTCGCGCTCCTCAATGTATCCGTTTTTCCACAGCTTGGTAAAGATGTCCTGGACAATCTCGGTCTGTTGGGCGGTCGGGGTTCGGCCAAAGATATCGAACGAGATGTCAAAGTAGTCGTAGATGCCCTTGTGGAGGGCATGGTACTTTGCGCACAGCTCGGATGGGGTTACGCCCTCCTCAAGGGCCTTGGTCTCGGTCGCAGTGCCATACTCGTCGGAGCCGCAGACTGTAGTAGAAAGAGTCAGCCGGGATTGGGCATTGGAAGACACTCAAGGGAGAGAGGTAGTCGCAACATACTGTAGATGGTGGGGTTTCCGCGAGCACGGGAGTACCGCGCAAAGACATCGGCAGACAGAACACTGCCAATGATGTTTCCGAGATGAGGAACGTTGTTGACGTAGGGCAGGGCGGAGGTAATTAGAACATTGTTCTTGCCCTTGACGGGCAGAATGGGATTCGGCGCCATGATGTGTTTGTTTGCTGTGTGTCGAGAGGAGAGGCGGAGAGGAGGAAGAGAGGAAAAGAAAGAATGGAAACTTGAGATGCCGACTTTCTCGGGGAAGGGAGTCAGGCGGCACGGTGTGCAATTGCGCCCACGGTGAGGTACGTCCCCCACTGCCCAGGGCAACTGCCACTGCCAACTGTGAGTCGCACCTACCTACCAGACTGACTCTGAAATGTTGCGCCAGCCTTGGACCCCGCACTATCCCCTTTTGGGATGAGGGGCACGGTCGAAAAGCTTGGGCCATTTCTCAATCGTAATCGCCGAGTTCTCATCCTCACTCACTCACTCACTCACTCATGTAAGGTACTCACTCATTAAGGCAACTCATTCAATATCTGGAATGAATTTGATCATGAGATGAGTTACATAAGGGTTGAGATGAAACGCGATGTTCTATTACGGCGTCAAGACTTAGCATATATTCGCGTTTTGAAATGCCATTGATATCAGCTTCGGTTCTTACGACCAGCAAATGCCATAATGCACACAAAGGCGTGATTACAATAGGGAGCATTGGGCGCAATGGACAGACTTTGGGGCAGGTGGCTCAATATCCAAACATTGGTCATCAAGCCTCGACTTATGACTCCATTTGTCACCTCCGCAACCTTTGTTCGCTCAGACGGCACTGGACGTGTTTGTGCTCGGCTGGTCGCGGACAGAGTCACGCGAGCACACGGCTTACAGCCTAATCGAAAGCAGGAAGTATGTTTACCTTCCTATTCTCTCAAACTAAACATGCAGCCCAGGCATGATATTTGAAATTCATTTACATGTCGCATTCGTTCTGGGAGCTCTTTTCGATTTCCAGTTTCATAAGACGATTGACGAACTATGAAGTGGTATTCAGGACAAAAATACCATTCCTTCAATGATTGAAATAACCAGAGATGCTGATAACAATCCAACCGTATTCGTCCGAACTAGGAGATCCCGTCCCAATTGACTTCTACAATAAGAGACGACATAATGCAAAGTATGTGAGCGAACCCAATTTGGTCACTGCTTTTCGGCGAAACGCCTTTGGGGGTTTCCAGATGAAATCCAATGTGGCGATAAGTCATGAGACCAATACCTTTGGGTTGAGGCTCCGTAATATGCTCCCTGAGATAGGTTTATGAGATGCCTGAATCACCATCTGTATATGTAATCTCCCTTGTTTCCCGAAACTTTTGAACATGAAGACAGCACTTTTGCCTGATTCATCGCTATTCCCACATGAATTCAACAGAAAAACGTTCCCACCCGCATCGTCATAAGCAGATCAAGACAAAACACAAACTCCCATCATCATAATCCTTCATAGGGCGCCAAGTTCCACACATCAACAACACCACTATGCCTCCCAACAGCCATCATCTTCCCGTCCATCGAAAAGGCCGCCGCCGTCACTAGCCCATCAATCCCCACCGCGGTCGTCACTTCAGCCAGAACCTGTCCAGAGTACACATCTGAGATATCCATCCCCTCCTCTGTCCGACACGCCAGGAACCGACAATCCGGCGACACCGCCAGCGGCCACCCTTCGTTGTTCCGCACTTTGTTCATCTCCCAGCTCGATACCCGCCCAGCCTCGTGCTCCCACACATACACGGCCCTCGCCCACACCGACACAACCACCCTCCCATCCGGCGACACCCCCAACGCCCGCGCCCCCGTCCCCGTCCCCGTCACAACCCCATCCACCTCCATCCGCCGTAGCGTCCTCCCCGTCTTGGCCTCCGATATCCTCACCGTCCCGTCCCTCGACAGCGTCACGAGGTCCGCACCGTTCGGCATGAAGAGAACATGCGTCGGCGCAGCATGGTTCATCACACCCGCCACCTTCTTCGTAGGTGGCATCCCCGGCGGACTCGTCGCCGCCTCAAACACAACAACAACGCTCAACGGATCCGCCGCCGCAAACTTCTTCCCGTCGGGGCTAAACGCCGCGGGATGCCCGACACCGTTCAACGCGCACCGCACCCCTCGCCCTTCCTCCCCGGCGCGGAGCTTCACCCGCCACTCCCGCTTCCATCCTGCATCCTTCTCCACCACCGCCGTCAGTTTTCCATCCGGGCTGAAGACGACCACAGGCGCGTCGCTGCTGATGTCAGACGGCACGAGGCGCGCGCCCACGGCGCCGGGCTTCTGGGGAAAGTCCCAGATCTTGGTGCTGGAGGGAAGCGCGGTGCCCGAGTTGTCTTGCGATGTGGCGACGTAGCCTTTTGGACTGATGGCGATGGAGGTGACGGGGCCGTTAAGGCAGATTGCGCGGCCGAGGTGCTTGAGGCGCAGAATTGATGGTGGGAGGGTGCCGTCGTGAAGGTTGAGGGATTGTATTGATCCCGAGATGGAGTGTGTCCTAACTGCATTCCGCTGCGCGCTGTAAATATGGTCAGTTATCTATGCATATCTTGAGTGATGTTGAAATGTTGCGGATCATGCGCGTAAATGTCAAGCAAAGAAAACGCACCCCCCGGCGACCGCCTCCTCATAGCTGGGCATCGAATCATCCGCCGGCGGGCCATTGCTGGCGTCCAGGTAAGCGCTCATGATGTCAATGTTTCTCTCTGTTTCCTTTCAACCCAAACACAGCATCATCCACTGCCGTCCGGCGGATTCCCCAGTGTAACGAATGAAGAGCTTTTGGATAAAACAAACAATGTGGTTGATGGACGAAGTTGGATTGAAGACGCTAGACGTTTTCCCCAGATCAATCGATCAGATCAGTCATGTCACCTTGCCGAGACCCCGGTCTCCTCGGGCGGCTTGGGATGTCACCGCACACAGCCGCAATGGCTGAGCTCCTCAGACCCCTGCCGGTCATTGTCTCTCCCCGCGGAACCTTGTTTGTGTTGCCGATGACCGGCGATCGCACCGGTCGCGCCGGGCACACCGGGCTATTTAGGTACCCTGCAAAAGAAGATGAAAGGGAATAATTTACAAATGCGCCCGGAAAATGAGCATTCGGAATGGCGGAACTCTTCCATTAGGTCGCATTCTGCCGCGACACTGACACATGATGAAGCAGGGACATTTGATAATTCACTGATGTGATGAGTGCGTCCTCCGATATAGAGATCCAATTGATACGCAATTGTAGATGGTCATTAAATGGTATTCTTCTGCTTCGCTATTCACATCGCACCCATGCAGTCCTTATGCCTACTGGCCAAATGCCTCCTCGTAGTTGGTCAGGCAGTATCTGTAGCGGACACTGGAATCCTCAATGCCGTTCATCGCCGACCTCAAACCATCGGCGCTGATGGGAACCTCCTGCACCCATGTCTTGATGCCCTTGTCGGCAGCAAGCTGCAACATCTCCAGCGTCTCGCGTCTGCTACCCAAGTGGGAGCTGCCAATGAAGCAGCCGTTGGGGAGGAAGTCCTGGTTGCGAACAGTGATGCCACCACCACCGGGGAGACCGACAGACACCCACTTGCCGTGGACGTCGAGAAGGCTAAGGTAGGCAGAGAGGTCGAAGCCCTCGAATGAGTTGGCCGTGTTAAGAATGAGGTCGAAAGTCATCTTGTGGGGCTCATTCCAACCCTTCTCGCCGCTCGCCAGGTAGCCATCGGCACCCATCTTCAAAGAGTCCGCCTCCTTGGATCGCGAACGGGAAATGGCCCAGACCTCAGCACCCAGAGCCTTGGCGAACATGATACCAAAGTGACCGATGCCGCCAATGCCGACAATGCCGACCTTCTTGCCAGGGCCACATCCGTTTCTGATCAGAGGGCTGTAAGCTGTCAGGCCAGCGCAGAGCATAGGAGCAGCGATGGTGCTGGGGAGGGCTTCGGGGATGGGGAAAACCCTGTTACTTGATTAGCTTGCATCTCATTTCGAGAGTAGCAAACACACGTACCAGTGCTCGTGTGTGCGGACGTGGGAGGAGTATCCGCCCTGGGAGATGGCGCCGGAGTCGGGGAATGTAGAGCCGTAGGTGTCGAGCTGGTGCTTGCAGTATGTCTCGTTGTCGTTCTTGCACTGACGGCACTCGAGGCAGGCGTAGGATTGAGCTCCAACACCAACACGCGAGCCCTCCTTGATCTTGGTGACCTTGGAGCCGACTCTCAAAGCCTTTCCGACGATTTCTAGACATAGCGGAGTTAGCCAGCCGGTCACAACTACGCAGTAGACACATGGACTCACCGTGACCAACCGCCAGAGGATAGGGCTGAGCACCCCAGTCACCCTTGATGGTGTGAACATCACTGGCACAAACACCGCAGCACTCAATCTTAATATCGACGTCGTAGTCACCAAACGGCTTGGGGTCAAACTCCTGCTTCTTGAAGTCTTGCCAGGTCTCGGCACTGTTGACCTGGAAGCCGGTGAACTTCTCGGGAATCGACATGATGGGTAGTTGAGTGTGAGTGAAGAGCTGTCTTGTAGATTCGTCTGGCTACTCTCGAGATACGACCTTGATTTGATTGCAGGAAGTGTCCGGATGGCACGAGAGAAGAGGAAGAGAAGGAGGAAGAGGAGAAAGGTTCGGACGCTGCTCACAACGGGCAGAGGGAACCGCGCCGGATGAAATACCCTGACCATTTTCAGAGCTTCTCCCGAAACCCCCCACCATCTCGTTTGTCGCGGCGCTGCGCGTGGAGCGTAGGACATCCATCCTTGAGTGAGGGGCACCTCCCAGCTCGGTCGAGGAGGGGCTTATGTCGCGCCGCAATGTCTGCCCATGGGAGCTAGATGGGGGCAGGACCCTTGCTCGAGGCTAGGCGCTTGTTGGAAGCAAATGATGGCCCTCTCATTCGATTCTTCCACAATCTTGCGCCATTGACTTCCTTCCCTCATCCGTCCGTCCGTCGCAGATGGCTGTGTTCGTAAAGGGACTGCATAAGAAAGAACATGTTTCTCGAAATCGAATCCGTTATTGTCGTGATTGCCGTTCAATTATCTCTGCTGTAAGCCTGTCGAGCTCGCATCCTTCTTCGTCACTTTCTTACACTCACCCGCCCTCCATTCATCGTGTCGCGCTGCCCCGCGATGATACCCCACCATTGCCCGCCAATTGCACCCCAAAACCCACTCGATTTGAGGTGGCTCCTCCGGGAGTTGGGGAAGGAAAATTGTCCGGAGGATTTTCCGAGACCGGCTGCCGAAAATCCCACCATACAGAGGGAAGAGATCCCCTCTTCGACGTTTGATGGCGGATGGGAACTCCACGATCACAGATAACATCGGGCTTGGCCTGGACCAAAAATTCTTCGTCGAGGGGCCAACCTCGCTGCACTGGATGTCTGAACTCCCTTCTTCGCTGTATCTCGGCAAATGTCTCCGAGTGCATGTGTGCCGTGCAAATGTCCCTAGCCAACCATCCAGTCCGGTCATGCGTACTGGTTCGATGCTTTCATCGCGCTGTATCTAATCGAGGTATGCGTAACGCCGTCAGGGTGAGTGACCAGTCCAACATGTCGGTACTGGCTCGGGGTTGTCCCAGCCTTCGCTTGGACTGTCTCTTCCGTTCGCCATTATTTCCTCTTCCCCCCTTGCCAACGGCGCCTTTTCCTCAGTTCGTCTCCCAGAACTTTCACTTTCGGTCGCGGTTCTGTGCGGACCGAACATCGGCGACTCGGGCTCGGTGCAATGATCGGGCGGTTCTCCGGCGCGTAAGCAACATCCCGGCCGGGTAGGCTATTTGAGCTTGGCGAACTCCCCCATGCTCTACTGTTGCTTTCTTGTAGGTGCCGGTCGCCCGCTTAATCCGACGCCGGCCAGAAATGCGACCCTCATCGAGGCACCAAAGTATACGAACGGGACATTTCCCCAGTCGATGGCGTTCCACTTGGCGAAGTTGTAGTACACCTCTGGCCCTAAGCTTCGAACTGTGTACAAGTGTCCAAAGTCGGCTACAAGGAGCACGAACAGGACGGTCTTCCAGACGCGCAGGTCTGATGTGGCGCGAAGAACGAGGGCTTCATTGAGAGCAAAGAGCAGGTATAGGTTGGCGAGCTGGGAGAGGACGATCGAGGTTCCTTGGGGAATGACTTCGGGCTTTGAGACGGCGTGAGTAAGCTGGAGATAGTCGTTGGGTCGCACGTGTGCGTAATAGGCACCGACAAGAGCAGAGATGGGCTCGATGCCTAGGAAGAAGACGCGGTAGAAGAGCGGAATGACGAGGCCTATTCTGCCGAATTGGGCAGGTTTGGGCGGCATCTTTGCAGCTTCTTGAGAGTAATATGTCGTCGACGAGAGAACAAGAAGGTCAACTTCTCGTCAGGAATTATGGAGAGAGAAGCTTGGAGAATTGAGAGGGGACGTCAGGGCGGTTTCGTCTCATCACTGGAGATTCTGGCGTGACGGGCACCCTGATGGACTGGGCCTCTCGTCATCGGCAGGAGCAAGGAAAAACTTGAGCTCCGGATGACCGGGGCTCGACGCGCCGGAGCCGAAGGTAAGGGTAAATGGCCCGTGCCCTAAACGCAATTCAGATGGGAATTTGCGATCTCATGATGGAACATTGCTGCTTCAAGGTCGACGGTCACAGGTCACCGTAGAAGGTTATCATACCGCCCATCATTGGGACGATCATCTTCTGCGGATCTAATCTATGGCTCAAAGCTCTGTATTTTAAGTTGTGACTTGGTCAGGAAGCTCACGATCTAACATGAAAGGTAGCTCACCTTCTTGTCGAGAGAATCTGGGGAAGCGAAAAGTCACAAAATCATCCCTGACGAGGAGGATATGGCTGTGATTGACTCTCATTTCCGAAACTTTATTCTTGAAATGAAGAGTTTCCCAGGCGTTCGCTTATCCGCGCCGTCTTTGTGTTTTAGACGCATCTGACAACGCAGCGCTCGGCCAAGGGAGCCCACCGCCAGGGTAGAAGTGAGACCTTCATGGCAATACTCGGGTACTCTGGTAGGCACATAGTGGCAGAAGAACAATAGGAGCAGGCGGTAAGGCACCGGTGAGATGTGACGGTGGATGGACGGAACGTTGACCTTCATTTGTCGGCTGCATAAGAGTGTGACAGCCAATTTCCGATTGTAAAGGTCTCAGAGCCTGGTTGCCACAATGCCAACGACGTCCGCCATGCTGGGTCAAAGGATGAGTCGTCTCTGGACTGGAATGGGTAAGGGCAATTGCCGAAGCTGATTTTTGGCTGTCTGTACGGATATGATCCTCTGGATTATCGTCGTCTTGCGACCTCGAAGAACCACACACAAATGGATGCCGCTGTCTCTGACACCAGGTTAAACACAAAGA